CCCGCCTAGGGTTAAAAAAAAAAACCTGGAGCCGGCCCTAGTAGCAAGATGGGGGGGTCACACCCTAGCAGCTGGAATAGTATAACCCCAGAGTTCCAACCTATCACCTAAAGACTATTGGAGAACAAAAGGCTTTCTGTACATGAGCAGGGGACAAGAAAGGGCTTTTATGTTCATTTTGGTATTAACCTCAGGGAGATGCATGGGGGGGGGTCACACCCTAGCAGCTGGAATAGTATAACCCCAGAGTTCCAACCTATCACCTAAAGACTATTGGAGAACAAAAGGCTTTCTGTACATGAGCAGGGGACAAGAAAGGGCTTTTATGTTCATTTTGGTATTAACCTCAGGGAGATGCATGGGGGTAAATTAGAAACCATTTTGCTGTAGAGTTTTCCCAAGTTTTCAGTAATAAGCAGTCTCTTGTTGGTAATGTTCACTTGAATCAAGGCCTGTACCAATTACCCTCCCCTCCACCATTTAAAAAAAAATAACATATCAAACAGTATAAGCAAGTACCTCTGAACATGTGCAGAGAATCTTTCCCTGCTGTCAGCCTCCATACACTTAATTAAAGGTGAGGGCTTCCTTCCAGTCACCCGTAACAAAAATGACTGCCTCAGTTGTCAATTACAATGTTCTGACAATACATTTTTTAAAAGTTAAAAACTTTCGTATTTATAGCTTGTCATGGTATTCACACACAACTAAAGTTTATGCCACCATAATATAGTTGACCCTCTTCCCTTTCACCACTGAAGACTTCAAGATTTGTATACTGCATTACTGGTGTTAATTTAGGCCTGGTCTAGGCATGCAGCAGAATGAGGTGGCAGAGTGCTAAGGTGAGGTGGTAGAATAGAATGTACCACTTCAGACCGCAGGTGAGGGATTACATTTTTTCCAGGTTATCCTATATTAATAATTCCTTGTGAGCGGGAAACTATCACAGAATATAAATGGTTAAGCTGGAAACTTTCTTACTGATAATGCTGTTGGGGGAGGCGGTTTACAGGGAATTTTTACATGGAGGAACATTACTACTTTGACCTCTCCTAGCTGCAATCTGAAGTGGAACCACCTATTCTACCATCTCCAGATTCCATCACCTCATTCTACTACATATAAACACACCAGGCCTTACAATGGGGTGTTCACCTTAGTGCATCTATGTTGTTTTAGTGATCATATGGAGTTCAGCAGAACAGCTCTGATGTAAAATTCTTCACTGATAGCCATGTTAATCTGTGGCAGAAAAAAAAAGTGTACCTTTGAGGTGCACCAGGATTCCTTTTTGTGTTTACTCCGAAGTAAATTTGGTCATGGATTGTACTTTTAACATATCTGTAAGGAAAATCCTTGTTTTAAATATAGATTAAGCTCTTGGGGGATATTTGCATTCTGTGATCTCTAGAAAGAATTGGCTGCGGGTGGTTATCTGAAGTCCTGCTGGTTATCTGGTAAGACTCTATGCATTTCAGAGCCAGAGGCTGAAAGATAAGTTTCTGCTGTATATTATTCAACTTAAATGGAAATGGTGAGACAGTGGCTATACAATACTGAGAAGCCTATTCTTGTAGTAAAGGGCAGGCCCTAACCATACATACAGTATAAACATACTACAAATCATTCCCCAAGTATGTGGGGGGACTCCTTTTTGTGCGTCATGAAGAAGAAGAGGAGGAGGAGGAGGAGATTGGGTTTATACCGCACCCTTCACTTGGAGTCTCAGAACGACTTACAGACTCCTCTCCCATCCCCTCCCCACAACAGACACCCTGTGAGGTAGGTAGGGCTGAGAGAGCTCTGACAGAAACTGCTCTTTTCAAGAACACCTCTTACAGAAGTATGGCTTGCCCAAGGTCATCCAGCAGGTGCAAGTGAAGGAGTGGGGAATCAAACCCGGTTCTCCCAGATTAGAGTCCGCACACTTAACCACTACACCAAACTTGTGTAATATACAGCAGAAACTTATCTTTCAGCCTCTGGTAGGGACAATTTCTTATTTAATAATTTTTTAAAAAATCAGTCATTATTTTTAGCAGGAAAGGCCATATTTAATATGTTCATGCAATCTAATTTGAGACTATGGATTTATAAATACTAGAGCCAAGATAAGGCTGACGAACATTAGCCATACTGCTCAGGGTCCATTGAGCATCCTCCAGTGCCTTTCAACATGTGTCAACAATGCTGTTCTGTTCTCTACACAGAAGAACAGTCTATATACTGTTGGGCACAAATAAATGGCCTAAAATGGCCATATTCAGAAACCAGTGGGAGAACATTTCAGTCACCCAGGCTCTTACTGACCTAAAATTCAACATTCTTCAACAAATGAACTTGAAACTGCTGAATTAGAATTAAGAAAGTTGACTGCATT